GGGGGGGGGGGGGGGGGGGGAGGTAATGGCGGAGGGAAGCATACGTCTCTAGTGTGATGTCTTAGGAGTTTAGTAAATCTCATACATATGATGTTTTTGTTCGATTTTTCGGAACATCGAACTTAACAAAGCACGGGGTATATCTTAGGGCCCCCAAATTTAAAACAATGCAACATCCTCCCGTGCCGGAGATCCTTTATACCGTGGGTTTGTTCATTGACCCGCTGGATCTGACCTTGCTGGCCCGAAGGCATGAGTCGCCGAATTCAAATGTAACTCAGAAACTTGTGTAGATTTTCCGAATATCTATTCAGTCCTCTCTGTTTCTTTGCCAATGTCTCTGGTTAGTGTAATTTGTTTTCAATATCTTACTTTTTACTTAAGTCAATCTGGCTAAAAATTAATCTGTGACTTCTCACTCGTTGTTTCATTATTTCACACCCAAGGCCTTCTCAAATCTTGAGTGAGTGAAGATCGTCTTTATATAAACAGTGAACTGGTGTCCAAACAAGATTAGACTTTTCCATCGTCTTAGTTAGTTTCTGACACGTTTAGAGTAAATTTAATTTCGCCAAAAAGCATCATGATTGGGAATCTGTTAAACAAATTTAAGAGATGCGAGAGAGTACAGTTCTCACTAGCATGTAGATCTCTATAGACAGTTGAACCCTCAGGCTGACAGAAGTCTTAAACTTAATCGGCAATCTGTTCCCATAGACAAAGAGGACCGTGGCACGTATTTGGTATCTTGCAACACGTACGAATTTATAGTTTATTATTATTTTTCATTTTTATCATGCGTGTGAAGATTTCCAGTCTCTACGTCCTAGTGACTCAAAAATGAGCAAGCTACATTGTAGAAGCCATCAACGGGTGTTAAGTTTAAGTTAAACTAATTTTTTTGATATATAAAGATCAAATGCTAAGTGTGTTTTCAATTGATAATTCCTCATACAGTACTCCCCCTCTCTCTTTCTCTCTTTCTCTTTCTCTCTCTCTCTCAGTCTCTCCTGATATTAGACTCCCTAAAATGTGACACAAAGGTATCCTTTATAACATTAATTTTCGCCTTTATGCAGTCATTTCATTTAAAAGACAAATTATAGATACATGTACTACAGCTGTTCAGTGATTACATTCAGCCCGCTTGTTTTTGTCTTTTTTCCTTATTATCTCCTCATTTCAATTTCAACC